TAGATAACTATGTGCAAGTTTAATGTTTTTAAAGATACCATTTTCAAACTAAACAGAAAAGTTGTAATTTAATTTGATGACATTGAGTTTAAATCCTTGTCAGTAGAGAGATGATATTACCAATACCATAAACTTTAATAGAAAGAAAAGGACCAGAACATTCAATTTAAACATCACCCTGTGGATATTTTCCAATGTTACTGTTAATCCCAATATAATTATTGTTTACAGCATATCCTTGATGAACAGTTAGTATGATGTTTTTAGTGTTAGTTTAAGTTGGTACAATAGATAAATACTGAGTATGTACAGGTGTGATTGGTTTTCACCAAAATAATACAGTTTTGAAACCAAACAGAAAAATTACTATCATTATGATGACACTAAGTTTTCACCTTGTCAGTTGAGTGATGAAATTACCAATATCAAGAGCATTGGATTCTAAACAAAAACTAGTAACAAGTTAAGAAGAGGCTCAGGACATTCAATATAGACATTACATGTACCTTTGTCTACACTTTCCGATGTTAGTGTTATTCTTAATCCAAGCAATGTCACCATTACCAGTTTGTGTATGCCTATCTCCAAATCCATCATCACCATTTGTCCCCTCACTTCCAGCCAACCCAGTGAATATAAGCCCAATTTGCAGTCTGCTGGTAATCCAACCTCTGCTTGTCAACTCTCTTATACTAATGCACAAGAGAGCTGTTTCCCTTAGTCTGTTGGATGTCATTAAGGCAACCCAAACTTCAACACCCAACACCAAACAGCCTACCATGCAGGACAAAGCTGAAAAGATCCAAGAGACCCTTGGAAAAATTCACGAGTGGATAGACACATTAATTGTTGTACATTGCAGCACCAGGGAGACTCGTGCACCAGATGCAGTTCAGGCAACAGTAACTGCCCAACTTATTGCTAACACAGCCTTTACTGCAATTGTGGCATGTATATCTTCTCCAGCAGAGAAGGATCAAGCAGTTGATCCAACACTGAGCAGAATACAGCCCTTTAGCACTGATGAGGGCCATAACATTTGTGGAGTCAGCAAGAAGTTGCCAACTCCAGAAAAAAAAAAAATGAGAAGATGAGAGAACTTAACAATAACATGAATTTCACAAAACTAATCCAGGAAAACAGATTCAGTGTTGCATTGAAATCTCCTGTCGTATTATAAAGTCATTTTGCAAAAATTATTAAACACTTTCTATATAGAAAGGAAAACATAACTTAGCCAAAGCAGGAAAGTAAGAGATGGTGACAAAACCACTGCATTATGGATATTGGAAAGTCTGAACAAACATTGGGCGTCGCATATGTAGGTTTAAGTCTAGTTAAATGGTTGTCCTCATTTGTAGTAGAGCCAATGACTGATAGACTTAAAAGTATTAAAAAGATAAACACCTTAAAATACAGACAACAGGTGGAACAAAGATTGAATCAACTTTTTCAAATGACAAAGAACCTTTTTAAAGAACAAAAATATCTGCATTTATGCGTAATCAAAAGTAATAACAATTAGTTCTCTCTAACCAATTCCCTTTTAGGTGACCCAAGTGTAAATGATTCAAGCAGTAAGTTGTATTCCACTTTTACCATTTGCTTAATAGTCAACAAGATAAAACATTGAAAAATATTGAGAAATTAACCCACAGTTTTCATCAAAGACTTTCTATTTCTCTACAAGTAATTTTCCTTTGACCTCAATTTAAGTAGCATGTTATCATACACTGTTAATAAAATACCTGGAAAGTTCTGTGCTATACACATAAATGTACATTGTACCCTAAATTGATGCAGTACCCATCTTGAAATCAAACATAAGTATATAAGAAAATGTTATTAAACAACTTGAATATCTTGTAAGATATTCAAGTTGTTTAATAACATTTTATGAATATTATTATCATATTATGAATCCACCATAACCTCTCACAAAATTGTGCTTTATCACGCCACTGAAAAAATTGACACAGTATTATCTACTATCATTGATCACTATTCGTTTAGACACAATGATAAGTTAACTCTAAAGATGAGACATGTAAGAACAAATGTTCTTAAAATATTATAATACTGGTAGTTATTTTCATAGAGTTGTGGGAACATGGAACGCCCTTGCCCTTTCCATCTGTGAGGCAACAAGTGCAAATTCTTTTAAAGTCTTAGTTCAAGGATTAGTTCATTTTCTTAATGTATTTATTTTTTAATATTTTTCTCTACTTCTACCATAGTTTAATTTGCATCATTATTTTCATACAAGTACAGCTCTTTTGCATTTCATCCCTTGGACTCTGCTTTTTTGTATGCCACGATTTATATGAGTATGTATACACAATGTATACCAGTATTTGATGCTTTTGATCTAATCAGTAACACCTCAAATTCAATAATTTAGTCCTGTTATTTCAGAACGAAGCATGGTTGGTTATTTACAAAACCTGTCCCCTATAAAGACCAGCAAAAACATGAATCAATAATTTTTGTAAAATTTCCAAACAATCACTAAAGTAGATTGTGCTGTCTACTTCTCCCCAGAGAAGCATTCAGTGCTCAAGCCCAAATTCGAGTCTTCATCTCCTGTTAAAATACAGAAGTTCCAACTAAAGAAAACCCATGACACGGCAAAAAGGAAGAATTGATTCTCAAAAAAAGAACAAAAATTCAAGATCCCCCTGGAAGTGAAACAGATTTTGACCTCCACCACATTAAACCAAGAAACCATGGAAGCAACAGACAGCCCAGTAGAGGAAATTCAAGGGCGAGAAAATTATACCCTGGTCAACATTGCTGGCCACATTTTATTTGATGGTGCTGCAGAAACTGTGAATGTAATTCACAAAAATAATTTGACTAAACAAGAAGTCCGGTTTGCAGATAACAGTGGATCTCTAAGGCTGGTCTTGTGGAAACAGCACATAGGTAAAATAAAATAAGGACAATGTTACAAAATATCAATCGTTGCCATTAAAGAAATTAATGGGCCAAACTAGAAAAGCAATTCTCTCAAACAATGCATTATGTTGGTGTGAGTACTGTTCAGCACGTAACAGAGTGGTTCATCTTATTCATTATTCTAAGCGCTGCCTTTATCAAAACTCAATAAACAATAACCTTGATAATCCTAAAAACCTCTGGCGCATTATTCGTTCTCTTGGGTCCTCTAAATGTTCAAAATGGCAGAATCACTTAACCATTGACAGGCTGAACTATCATGATTATGACATTGCCAAACTTTTTAACGAGCATTTTGCCAATATTTCTTCTTCCATTCAGTTAACTCATGCTTCTGACCCTAATAACTGGGAGCGTATTACCCAATATGTCATTTCCAAGTTGCCACCTCGAGTGTCCTATTCTATTCCCCCTATTTCTGAAAATTTTGTTAAGTTACAATTAGAAATAATATGCAGAAAATGGTTTGAACGTAGGGGTAACATGTGAAAGTGTAGTATGATTGTCCACGCGAGTGTAGTCCTGAGAAGGACTGTTGTCAGTGGCATGGTGGTCACTGACATTTCAACAACCTGTGCAGAAGTCATCATCAGAGTCAAGTGAATAGTTGTTGTCAGTAGAATATTCTTAGTCCAGTTTGTGTAAAATGATCGGTCAGTTTTGCTGTGGTGTTACTGGCTGTAAGACTCAACTGGCGTAAGTCAGTCATGATTGGTCTGTTTCAATCCATCTGTAAAGTTAGGTTGTTCTGTTCAGTTTGTTTGTCATGTTAATGTCATGAATGAGTCGTTTGTATGGAACCGGTAGTAGTTGACACCTGTTTAGGGGAGTCTGTTCTAAGTTAACAAACCAGCTTTCCAGAGTAAGTCACTGAAAGTAGTTAGGGCTGTAGGGTAGCCATTGCGAGAGTCCCAGTCAGTACTGAGGTTCGTAAGTCGATGATGTTCAGCAATGAGGTTGTTGACATCACCTTTCCTTGTGGCCTGTCTGTGTTCATTCAGTCTGGTTGTAAGGTTTCTGCCAGTCTATCGGATGTAGGAGGCTTAGCAGTGGGAGCAATTGATCTTATAACGCGCTCCATGTCTCTTCCTCGGTTTGTCCTTGTCCTTAACATCGGTTAGTAACTGACGTAGTGTGGCGATGGGTTTGTGGGTGATGTGGATATTGAACGGCTGTAAGATGCCCGACATGTTCTCAGACATGCCTTTTGTGTACGGTATGGTTGCTGTTGTCATAGGACTTGTGTTGTCATTTGTTTCAGTAGTAATAGTAGGTCAGTGGGTGTTTTGTCATATGAAGTTGTTGTTGTAGCTGTTCTTTGAAAAAACACGGCAAATATATTTGTTCTCATCAGATAAGCTGTCTGTTGTGGTGCATGCTAGTTGCGTGTGTTGTGTTAGAGTTCTGATAGTCATGGCTTTGTGTGATATAGGGTTGTAGGATGACTCATCTAGTAATCTGTTGGTCCATGTCAGTTTCCTGTAAACTGTCATCAGTAGTGAGCTGTTGTCACAGCTTACTGGACAGTCTAGAAAAGGAAGTTTGCCATTTTCTTCTACTTCTCTGGTAAACTGTATCTCGGTGTTTTGTCCATTAAGGTGGTGGCGGAATGCGTCAATTTTGTCGTGTCATAAGGCGGTGAATGTGTTGTCAACATAGTGTAACCAAAGCGGTATCGTTTGTGGGCAAGTCGATGGGCCCTTTCGACCCGCCCACAAGCAATACCGCTTTGGTTACGCTACTTTGATGACACATTCACCGCTGTACGACACGACCAAATTGACGCATTCCACCACCACCTTAACAGACAAAACACTGACATACAGTTGACCAGAGAAGTCAGAGAAAATGGCAAACTTCATTCTCTAGACTGTCTGGTAAGCCGTGACGACAACTCACCAAAGACGACAGTGTACAGGAAACCGACACACACCAACAGACTACTAGATGAGTCATCCTACAACCCTACACCACACAATGCCACAATTATCAGAACTGTACCACAACATGCGCAACTAGGATGCAACATGACAGACAGCTAATCTGACGAGAACAAATACCTTTACCATGGTTTTTTAAAGAACGACTACTATGACGACTTCATTTAACGAAACACTAATCGACCTACTAGTACTGAAACAAACGACACTGCAACTCCTATGACTACAGCAACCATACCGTACATAAAAGGCATGTCTGAGAACATCTTGTGCATCTTACAACCCTTCAACATCTGTATCACCCACAAACCCACCACCCCACAATGTCAGTCACTAACTAACATTAAAAACAAGGATGAACTGAAGAACAGACAGGGAGCAATTTATAAGACTGATTGCCCCGACTGCCAAGCCTCCTACATCGGAGAGACTGGCAGAAACCTCGAAACAAGACTGACTGAACACAGAGAGGCCACAAGGAAAAGTGATGTCAACAATCACATTGCCAGACATCATCGACTTACAAACCTCAATATTGACTGGGACTCTGCGCAATGCCTAACCTACAGCACTAACTACTTTCAATGACTGACTCTGGAAAGCCGGTTTTCTAACTTAGAACAGATTCCCCTAAACAGGTTCAACTACTACCAGCTCCATACAAACGACTCATTTATGACATTAACATTACAAACGACCGAAAAAGAACGACCTAACTTTACTGATGGATCGAAACAGACCAATCACAACCGACTTACGCCACTTGAGTCTTCCAGCCAATAACATCATGGCAAAACTGACCAATCATTTTACACGAACTGGACAAAGAACATTCTACTGACAACAAATTAATATTCACTTGACTCTGGTGATGACTTCCACACAGGTTGTCGAAACATCAGTCACCATCACTGATGACAATCCTTCTCTGGATTACACTCACCAGGACGATAACACTACACTTTTACAGAAATACTGTGATCATCTAAAGACTTGCATACTACCCTCTTGAGTAGTTTCCCTAGAGCACTAAGTAAAGATTAGTTGAAAATTGTTAGGGTCCAGTCTATTCCTTTATTAAAGATAGGTATAACTGAAGATTCTTTCCACTACTGGGGGAACTTACAACAATCCTTGCTCTTTTAAAGACCTCGAACAAGCCTTGGATAAGAGATCCGTGTGCCAGTTTAAGATCTTTAGGTGAGATTTGATCTGATCCAAGTAATGTAGTCTATTGCCATGATAGTCCAAATATCAACAAGTTTCCACTAAAACTGAGGAATCAAATGAATATTTACTGAATGGACATTCTGTACCTTTTTAACAGTATTTCTGTGATTTATAATTATATATTTTCTCATGAACTTGCATTAATTTTATAACAATGTACATTTTTTTATTTTTGATTGCTATATTTCGATACTTTCTTCTTTATTTAGGAGACCCTTAATATAGGTAAACCTGTGGGCTTCCTTTTTCTTGACAGTTCTTATTAACAGGGCTTGTTACTTTTTTAAAAATGTATGGTATTATATACACTACCCTTGTCTTCTTAACCAAAATGATAGCAAACATTCCAGACGAAAAAGCACAAAGTGTACTTGCCAACAGCTTCTGTAATTCATGGAAAAGCTGGGAGAAATATTTCTATGGATTTGTTCCTTGAGCACAAAAATAATTCTTTAAAGGAAAAGTTGATCTTCTTGGGCCAAATTTCAAAGAAGAGTCTGCCCAGAGAATAGCAAGTTTTATTGGTGTCAATGATGGTATTTTGACTTATAGTAGTGTACATCAGGATCATAAGAAATCAAAAGATGACACCAGACTCAATGCTTTTTTGCACATCCCAGGAAGAGCAGGTTATCACTCCTTACCAAAAATAAGTGCACACCTTATGAATGAAATAGATTATAGAGACTAGTGCAGATGGATATGGACAAGGTTACATGAATAGGCTGAAAGTTATGAAAATTAGTGGCTGTGTAGTCACTTCATACTAAAGCAGACAGCATATCACTGTTAAAGTTATAACAAAAAAATGGATGGTCACCTGTCACTATGTACTAGACAAGAATAAGTTAGTTAATTTAAGTATCACTAAAAGAACACAGTAGTAAATTTTGAGGATATGACAGTGTAATTAATTATTGCAGTTTTGCAGACACTGTTTGTCTATCTGCCTGTCGTTACATGGTGTCAGGAGTTTCGGGAATCCAAATGTCATGAAAACTGAAGGATTCAAGGCAGAAGTTGCCAAATTTATGAGTGAAAGCAGTGGTGAAGTAGCAAACAACAAGTCCTCCTTCAAGTTTGACAAAAATGGCAAATTTCCAAATACCTCCTCTTGACATACTCCAGCTAAACAATGGTTTGACGGCATCCAATTGGCGAACTTGGCTTTCTGCTTGGAATAATTACAGGTTGGCTACGAAGCTAGATAGAGGAAGAAGCACATCAAGTAGCAACACTTTTGGCAGTAGTTGGAAACGAAGTGAACAAGGTGTTTCATACTTTTGCATGGGCCTCGCCAGATGAAACGAAGAAAATCAATGTGGTTTTAAGCAAGTTTGAAGAGTATTGTATTCCCAGGGAAAACACTATTTACGAACGTTTTCTTTTTGTCACGCAGGATCAGCAGGAATCTGAAACTGTTGATCAATATTTTACAGAGGTTTGCCAAATTGCAGCAAATTGTGATTTCGAGTCAATCACACCCACTCAGCTCCTTCAGGATCAACTGCTGACAAAACTGCCAAGGTACACAAAAATTTGCTCAAAGTGAAGGAATTGACCTTTGAGAAAGCTGTAGATATTGCTCATGCCACCGAGAGTACGGCTGTTCAAATGAAAGTTATATCTGCTGAGTCTGGATTAAGTGCTGTGAAAGAGAACGATAAGAGCAGTCAGAAAATGCCCCATCTGTCAGCAGTGGCTGGATCAAGGACTGTAGATTCTGTGGTAGGAACCACAAAAGCCGCAGCTGCCCTGCCTTTGGCCAGATTTGTGCATAATTATTGTAAAAAGAGGAATCGTTTTACTGCCAATTGCCCAGCAAAAAGCAAGGTCTCTACTGTCCAAGAGCAATTCTATTTAAGTGCTGCAGGTGTAGGAAACAATTTGTTGCCCTTTCCATCTGTGAGGCAACAAATGTAAATTCTTTTAAAGTCTTAGTTCAAGGATTAGTTCATTTTCTTAGTGGATTTATTTTTTAATATTTATCTCTACTTCTACCATATTTTAATTATGCTCCAGCGAGGGGCTAACTCTCGAAACATCAGCTTTTATAACCATAACGGTGGCCAATTGACCATTTCAACTTTGTTGATATATCCAAATTATTTCGTTACCCCCAACGACGCAGCCCCAAACAGTTTCTTTAGAAACTATCAGCCTTTACTGTTTTTCATAGTCCTACTATAACTACTATTACGTCTTTAATCTATATTTACATATGTATGTGTACGTGTTCATTTATAGTTACATATTTTGCCCCCTTTCGTTGATTTATATTATTCATTTCATATTTATAGTCTATTTTACTTTATATATTGTCTGTTGTGTATATATATATTTTTATCCTCAGTCTGTACTTATTTGTCTATTTGCTTATTTATTTTTCAGTGTCGTAGGTTTGAAACCTGTAATAGGTTATTGCGCTTCCCTGTTTAAAAAGTTATTGTTGTTGTAAATGTTGCAGTAAAATAAAGGCCAGTATTCTTACCATCACTGGAAAAGACACGACTTCCCTAGATATACTTGACAATATGAATAAACAACTGTATACTATTACAACAGAGCAGGATGGGGAATTGGTGAAAGAATTTTCAGACCTTAGTGATGATGATATCACTGAACTGCTTCTTACTGTAGAAGGAACAGTTGTATTCAATGAAAAAATCCCAAAGACAGGGCTCAAAGTTAGCGACCAGCTGGTCGCACATGCATCTAGATTTTTAACTGCACACCTAAAAATTCATGTGTGATCGCACTTGCGCACCTATAAATCTCAGAGATTAGTGCGACTGAGCTTATTACCACTCAACTCTGTTTTCTCACCTGATCATTCTAAAATGACTCCAACTGGTTGGACACAAAATGGAAGATTGAAATATTAAGTTCAAACATAGGTATGACATAATCAGGCTGCAAACAATAAAGTTATCATTTTCCTTGCATCAGCTTGTGTTTTATTTGTCTTTTTCTGCTATGGCTTCTCCGAACTCGGAACTCCATGTTCCCATTCCATCCCAGCCCTATTCAGTTTTGCGAATACTCCGCAGACACATGCGAGTGAAGGCTACCTTTAAAGCACGTGCTTCTCGGCAATCAAGTTCACGCGTACAA